TTTGCCCGCGGCCTTCGCTTTTAGTTCCTCGAGTTTCTTCTGTTCTTCTTTTTGTTTCTGCTTGAAAGCCTTATCTTCCTCGTCCATCTCCTTGGTCTGCTTCTTGGGCTGTTTCAGGGGCTTCTTCTTACCACCTTCACGGCCAGACATGGTGCCGGCCGCCCCTTCCCCAGACCTGCCGCCGAAACTTCTTCTTCATTTATAAAGTGATCCAAGTACAAACATTTACTCTCCAACTGTTTCTATCTTCCTCATACTATAATTTCTCTTAGTTATTGTTACATAGTTCTATAAAGGCAAAAATATAACTGTAAAAGTACAAATCTGCAGAATAAATAATTTGTGAAGCTGGCCTAGATGAAGAAGAATGTGGAATCAGGATTAAAGGAAGATTCATCAACAACCAGCATTATGCAGATGATACAACCCTACTTCCTGAAGTGAGGAGGACTTGAAAGATTTGCTACAGAAAAATCTAAGACTATAGCCTTCAAAATGCTTTACATCTCAACATTAAGAAATTAAAAACCGGAAGCTCTGGTGGCCTAGTGGCAAGAAGCTACAACTACAATCCCAGAGGTGCGTGGTTTGAATCCACCAGATGCTCTGCCAGGGAAGGAGGGGCAATTTAAATTTTTTTCTGTGAAAAATGTTTTCTCATATTTTTTAAACTTGCAGTTTGAATAAAAAAAAAAAAAGAAATTAAAAACCTTCACCATTGGGCCAACAGGCAACATAATGATAGATGGAGAAGAGACAGAAACTGCCAATGATTTCATCTTGTTTTGATACATAATCAACACCCTTGGTACCACCAGACAGGAAATCAAAAGATATACCACACTGGGAAAGTAGGCTATCAGGGACCTCTCCAAAATATTGAAGAGCAAGGATGTCAGTTTGAAGACTAAGATGCACTGGATCCAAACCATAATATTTTTAATTATTCGATATGCGTGTGAAAGTTGGACAATGAGTAAGGATCAAAGAAAAGCCTTTGCTTTATGGTTATGCAGGAGCGTGATGACTGTAACACAGACTGCCCAAAGGATCAATATGTTTTGGGAAAAGGGCAGCCAGAGTGCACCTTGGGCAAGGATAGTGAAATTTCATTTCACATACTTTGGGCATGTTTCCAGTCCTTGGAAAATTACAGCACGTCTGGAAAGATGGAAGGTCAGCAAAGGAGAAGACACTAAAGAGATGGAGGGACATAGTGACTGTCACAATGGGCTTGAGTATATCAGAAATGATTAACGATAGCACAGGATAGGGAAGGGTTCAGATCTATTGCTCATAAGATCTCCATGTGTCACACTCAACAGCCAGCACTTTAAAACAATTCATACTTAAGAATCAACAAACCGAAGATTATAATAATATTTATGTAAAATACAATTAATGATGAAGATGAACATTCCCTCAAAAATTAAAAACAAAAAACCTCCAAACCAACATAACACATACACAATACAAAACAAAACAAACATAGAAACACACAACACCCAAAAACCTCATTGTCATCAAGTTGGAACTGCCTCAGAGTTTGCACTCCAGTGGATTTTCTGAGACTGCAGATTGCATGGGAGGAGATTATCTTTTTCTCCTAGCTCTACTTATAGATGTGAACTTTTGGGCTTAGCTTTACAGCACTCCCTACAGACCAGGCCACCAGAACTTCCTATTTCCTTGAAACCTGGAATCTGACAGCTAATTTAAAATCTTAAGAACTGGGAATTTTGTGGTTTCTAGTACTAGTGTCTTTTAGGAGGTCATGTTCAAAACTGTACCTGGTGGGTAATTTCTGATCCAGCCTTTCTGAATTTCTCACTAAAATGAACATTTGCTGAAAAGCTCAATAAATGATCCACTTTCACTGTGTGTACCTGAAAGGAAGCAAGGACCCACGGTCTTTTGCCTGCTGGATGCTCTCCAGATACATGTTCTAATGCATGAAATACATGTTTTAATCAACTTGGAAAAATGGCAGCAGTTTTCTTTCTTGAAAGATAAACCCTACCACAACTGTTCTTTATCTCAAGGAAGGCTTTATTAACAATGAGAAAATAACAGAGCAGATGTGGTGAGCAGGAGGAGGTGTGTGACTTCGTCAGAAAGAAAACCACCAGTAACAATAGCAAAGTTCAATAGGGCAGCAAACAACAAATGCTGACAAGGTTGAGGAGAGAACTGGAACTCTTACTGCTGGTGAGAATATAAAATGGTACAACCACTATGGAAGTGGTCTGGCACTTTCTTGAAAAGTTGAGAACAGAAATACCATTTAACCCAGCAATTCCACTACTGATAATATATACTAAAGAAACCAGAGCCAAACTCCCAACAGATCTATGTACACCATATTTATTGCTGTATTATTCAAAATAGCAAAGAGACGGAGGCAACCCAAGTGCCCCTCAACAAAAGAATGGACAGAGAAATGGGATACTACACAGCAATGAAAAACAATGAAGCAGTAAAACACTACACAACATGGGGGAGCCTTGAGGACATTATGCTAAGTGAAATATCTCAGTCACAAAAGGACAAGTAGTATAAAATAAGACAGACACAGGGGGTTTGGGTAGGGAATAGGGAAAGAATGCATAATGAACACTGCATTAGAGCAAATGAGGGCAAGACCTATCTGAAAGGAATATATGATTATGCTTTATATGTATGAGAACAATCTGGAACAAGGGGTGAATTGTGGGGTGTGTTGAGAGAAGGAAGCGGGGAGAAAATGTACCCTAATGAACAAATAAAAGAAAAAACAAAACCAAAATAAAATAAAAGCGGAGATTTAAGATCAAAGAAAAAAGGCAGTCTCAATTCAAGATTCAAGGGGTTTTTTTCCATACACAACATCTTCCCTAATGAGAAAACCAGGCTAAGAAGGAAGATGAACCCAGGACACTTTCCTAGTCTAGGACAGATTCTCTAGATGAAAAGCAGAACTTGGCTTTTCATACTCACAAACCATCTAATTTTAAATGTTAAAAGGCAATTCAACCAGCATTCAAGCTAAAAAAAAAAAACCCAACCAAAAACCAAAACAGAAATGAAAGCAACAACTGCAAGTATATTCTCTCTTATAAAACACTTTGAGTTGGAACATGGTTCTCCTCATTCAAAAGCTGGAAAAGTACACAAAAGTAGGGGTAGGAGATAATACTTTTGAGTAAGAAAAGGAAATATCAGCTTGAAAATAATGAAAATAAGCTCTTTTTCCCGTTTTTTCAATAATAAGCTCTTAATAGAAAACAAGAGAGCATTTTAGCATACTGTGCATCATACTCTAACAAAATACAAAAAAGAAATGTGCATCAAGGAATTAAAAATTATAGAGAATGCACAAGATGAGATAAAAAGTGAACTGGAGAAATGAACATGTAGAAAACAATTGAAATGTCAAAAGATTTGTGTATGTATGTATATATATATATTACAATTTAAAAAGTGAACTGTGTAAGAAATAAGAATGTAATATAAGTAAGAATTAAGTACATAACAAGTGTAATCAGTAAAATTATCTTCAAGACAGCTGAATTCTTAGAAAAACAGGTAAACATTTAGCAAGTAGAATCTTTGACATATTTCATTCTTATCCTCAATTATAGTAACATGGTGAAAAAATAAAAAAGAAAACCAAGTGCAACAAATATATAGCAGAAGTTGCAGCATGGAAAAATCTATGAAATGGAACTAGTAGTTTCCATCTAGTGTGATGGGACCTACAGTCATCACAGCAAACACATGGCTTTTATTCCTTTTGTTATAGACTTCTCTAAACTTTAAATGGTATAAAAAGTGAAGAATGGGACAGGGGCACATAAACACACACTCTAGGGGGAAGGTAGGGGAAAAAAACCAACAAGTTATGACATAAAATTCTTACACACAGCACACTGTCTTTCACATGAGCTGGAAAGCAGGAAAATTCTCAGCCCTGCAAGAGCACACATAATTTAACACTGATACATCCTTCTTGAAAAGAAGGGAAAAAATTTCATATTCCAGTCAGTCAAGAGATGAAAGGGGGGGGGGGGAGACAAATACGAAACAAGAGAAGAACTGGAATTAAAAAAAAAATCTAATGAGCTATGAAACCTGCTTTAACAAACTATGCAATAAATTATTCTTAATTTGGTCATCAACTTCCTGTAATTGGGGTGGGGGCACCCAGGAAAAGACTAAATAGATAATGAACACTGCACTAGAATGGGTGAAAGGAAGGACAATTTGAAGGGAATGGATGACCAAGAATTATGTGTATGCCAATTAATAGCCTGGAACAGGACAAATGTTACAAAGGGAATTGGAGGAGGGAGGAAAATGTGCATGCATGAATGAAAACCAGTCTCTTCCTGAACTGTAAAAAAAGAAAGAAAGAAAGAAAGAAAGAAAGAAAATTAAAAATACCCAAAAACTTCCTGTAAAAGAAATTACTGTTATATAGTATACAATATCCATATATATACCAAGACTATGCTTATGGCTCATATATGTAAACACGTACTAAATCTCATCTTACAAGGAAAGAAGTAAAAACGCACTATTTTGTACTATGTTTCTAAAGAGAGCTAGTCATTAGATAGTGACTTTCATTGTTGATTATTTTACAGCTTTTTGTTCACATGAAAGCTGACCCAGAGGCCAGGAAGAACTGAGAAAGCAGAGCTTCCACTCCCCTTACTGTCCAGAGGCTCCTCTACTGAAATCTCAGGGCTCCCTGGAACCGGTACTGAAAACTACTATACTAGTGCAAATAAAGATCAAATCTATACTTTCTAAATCACTGCAGCAGATAAAAATGCTAGCCACTTCTCTCTATCACTAATATTTACACGTATGTGCAGATGTGCGTATACTCAAAACAGCTCCAAATCATTACCAGGAAAAAAGCATACCCATTATTTTTTTTTTTCAGGTTATGGAATTACAGATATGAGATGTTTTAGGTACTTTTGTCTGGATTCTTTGGAAAAAATCAGTTGAGAGATTTTCTTTCTCTAAGCCCAAAGGGCTCTATCCTAGTGTTCTACTCTGGAAGGTGTGATTATTTTTCTGGGTAATCTGTAAACAACTTGATTTAATTAATACTTTTTGTCTAGTTCTTGATGAAGCTTGTCTTATGATGGGTATAAATCTTATGGGGACTGGTCAATAGGCTATGCAAATAAACCATCTGTGTTCTATCCAGAGAGTTTACAGACCTGGTGGGAAGGTCATGCCTTGAAACTAGTAGAATTACAGCCAATATTACAGAAGTTTTCACAAAAACAAAAACAACAAAAAAGAAAGAAAGAAGTAGAGAAACAGCAGAGAAAGAGAATCTCTTAAAACAACTGTAACACAGAAACTGAAAACAGCAATGGGTCCAGAAAGGCCTCTGCACCAGCGGGCCTAGAAAGATCCCTGTGACAAAGTCTGTGCTAACAGAGACAGCAAAGCCAAAAGCAATCTGTCTTAAAGGCATACAGAGAAGTCTGTTTTCATGGGGCCCAAAAGCAGCTGAGAGAACAGTTTTGTGACTGCTCTCCCTCATGAAGGAAGAACACTTTTCCCACAGCTTCTTGATCCCGAGTTATATCTTGTTGCAATTTTAAACCATTTAATTCCAAGTATGGTCTTTGAGTTGTGTGTAACAATGACAATAGATTACTGAACCCAGAAGACAAGGAGTGCTGTAGAGAGGATGGCTGGAAACAGAATTGTTAGAAGGGTTTGAGGATGGAGATCTATTTGACCTTTACCTCATAGTCACCAGCTTTGGGCCAATTCTGATGCGCATTATCCTCCCTAAAGTCAGACAGCTTCTGATGATACCGCTTCTATTTATTAGTAACAATTTTACAGAGTATTTTATCAGGAAAACAATGAGTATCTTTTTCAGTTTTCAAAGATAAGCCATCATCTCAAATTGAATATTTATAACATTTCTTAAAAAAACAACAACATTTCTTTAAAACATCATTGGTATTATTTTTTTAGAGATATCACATCATTTGCAGACCAGCAATTTTTAAAGTTTCTAACACAAGCATAAAAACTACAGCTAAAGGGGAGCTCTGGTGGCCTAGTGGCAAGAAGCTGTACTGCAATCCCAGAGGTACACGGTTCAAATCCACCAGATGCTCTGCCGGAGAAGGAGGGACAATTTCCTCCTGTACCAGTCAGATCTGATTTGACAGTACATGCACACACACACAAAAAATAATAATAATAAAAAGTTAAAAAAAAACACCCTACAGCTAAACAGATATGATGCAAAACAAGGGCCAAAAAGTTCTCAGAAAGAAAATTTTTTAAAATTCAAGAATAACAAAATATCTCTGGAATGAGAAGGCAATATTTCTAATTATTCCCACAGTTATAAATGAAATATAACACTCCAGGTAACTTTTTCTCTAATTTAAAATGAACATTCTACTGTAAAAATTTTCCAGAGTGTTTAAAATGTAAGTATAATTCTGGTTACTAATAAGACTGTCTCAGATCAAACATCAATTACTTAACTTTATTTGGCTTTAGTAATTATTTTTATGCTACTAATTCAAATATAAATATCATTCCTCCATGCTTACTATGAAATTTCTTACATGTTTATACTTACTCGTAACAAATCATCTATTCTTCCTTCTTTCTTCTCTAAGTCAGAATTTTTACTATTTTCTAGTGCAGATATTTTTTCTATTGTGAGGTCAGACTACAGAGAGAAAGGAAAAACAAATTTAGAACTCAACTGAAAATATCAATGTAAGCATATTTTTTAAAAAAATAAAAACAAAAACCACTTGTTAATACAAATAGGAATCACATCACTCAAGAATTTTAAATCTGGTTCCCCTCCCCCAATTCCACTCTTTAAGTGTTAGAGGGGTTTATCATTTGATGCTTTAAAAAAACCTGTTAACTCTACAATCAAGTACATGAATTCTCAAACTAGTAAAAAATACAGAAAGATACTACTCTAGAAATGAAATTCACTATGAATAGAAAAGAACCTCATAGGCAAAATGACCCAGATTTCTAAAGAACAAAAATGCCATCTAGTGGGATAATCAGAAGGTAGAAGAAGTTGTCTGAACTAAGTCTGTTCAACTGTCTAAGAACTGGGAGTTAAATAAAATGAAAAGCAGTTGTTCCTCTTTCCCTATGGGCCTTAAAGTTCTTGTGACTTGGGAAGTCTCCAGATTGGCAAGCATGTTGTACTGAAGGCAACAAAGAACAGCCACAACCTTTCAGATACAATCTTTTTATATTCACATTATTTAGGTTAAAAAAAAAAGTTTCTAGAGACTGATTAACAAAAGATTATGTCAGTGAACCACATATTTGAGAAATTTAGAAAGGTCTTGTCAAAAGTAAGGGTGAAAAAAATCAACTACGTAATAAATGAAAGATTAGAATTACTGCAAGTTTATAGTGTTATCCTAATAAGAATGCTGAATACATTTGTCAGAGTTTATCAGAACTGACTTTATTTAGCAGATGATTCATATTCAAGAAAACTGAGGTCAGAAGATAAAATATCAACTACAAAGTCAGAATGCAAATGAATTCAGGTCTGAAGATCTCCAGAGTGTTTGTCTTCTCCTCACCACCAAACAAGCATTTCTGCTACAATATACCAAAAAGGTAAAGAAAAGACTTAAACATCTCCAAAGGGACTTTAAATACTAATCATGCAAATTCCGAATACAACACACACACAAAACAAAGGAGTAAAGTCAGAGAAACAAAAAGATTCAGAAGAATCATAGTGCCTAACACTGAGTTCTAAGCAGAGCTTCTCCTCCACTGCTCACCCAACCACTGACCTGCGTCTGTCTGTGCTGCATGGAGATCTGTTTTTGGGAGCTGCAGGAATGCTCTGTGTTGCCAGATCCCGTAGAAGAGGGACTGTTTTGCTGAGCCTGTAATAAAGGTATACCACAAATCACAAGGAAGTTATGCATCTTTCTCCACAAACATTTGTATGAATAAAATTATTAACTATATAAAACAAAGGAAAACTATTTAGATATAAGACACAGGCACTGAGACATGGTGGCTTGAACCATGTAAGGTGTAAAAAGAGTACTACATATTTTAAAAAATACTACATACTTATAATTATTTTTGAAAAGTAAATTAGGGGAAACAGAAAGTTAATCCTATAAAGCAGGCTGAACTTTGGTATGCTTTTGTCAAAACAGGATGGTGAAACAATCAACGCACAATAAATGCACGTGACTGGTCAATACTAATACTAATACTGGTCAATACCAATACTAATAAGCATATCTCAGCTCTCGGTATTATGCTATGTGGATATATGTCATGCTTTTTACAAGCAGAAAGTCTCTGGCAACCGGTGCCATTTTTCCAACAGCATTTGCTTGCTTCATGTCTCTATGTCCTATTTTGGTCGTTTTCACAATGTAACTGAACTCTCAGGATCTCTGAAGTACACCCATAGTATTGTGAACATGCAAACAGTATCTAGGAACACACAGTGGTCCAAAAGTCCAGACTGAATTCCAATACTGTCACTCAATGACTGTGGTAGTTATAAGTGGATTTATAGGACATTCTAAAGCTGTTTTTGATTCAATTATTTCAACTATTCAGGGATACTCATTATACGCCTAACTAACACAGTATCATCACCACATAATGAGGAAATATGAGCTATTTCGAGGACAATTAAACAAGAGATACCACACACTACACCCCATATATACTTTACATATATTCCTTTCGTTTTCCAATTATTTACCATATTAACAATGGTATAACCATTGCCTATTGAACAATTTCTATTTGCTACAAAATTTACTGACATGATCACATGGAACAGTTCTATAAGGCTGTAGTGGTAGTTGTGGTTGTCGTTATTATTACTACAACTGTTTCCATTTTACAGTTAAAGAAAATGAAAAGAGACTTGAAGGGTACATGCTCTCAATAACCACTCTCAATGACTGCTGTAGACTTCCTGTCATCAAACAACTACAGGTGCTATTAGGGCCAGCCCCTGAATAGTGTATAGACTTCATACAAATGTTTCCCTTGAAATATGATACAGGCATGTAAACTAGGCAATATTATTTTCAGTATTATTTATTTAGTCTTTCAACAATTACTTACTATGTACTCCCTACTACCAAGGTATGGTACTGAATTCTGGGGATATAATATCCAAGACAAACAGAAACAAAATGACAGACCTAGCCCTTAATCTGCCCTAACAAAGTTTACAAGGCAAGGGAAAACTTCAATAAATATTCACTGGGGGAAAAAGGTGACTAAATAATCACACAGTAAATGCAAAATTACAATTAAGATTACTGCCATGTGACCATATACAACAAGGTACACAGAATAATCTAGAATCAGGGATAAGTTACATGAGATCAAGTAACATCAGAGTTAAGACCTGGAAAAGAAATTTAACAATAAAATAATCATCGGGGAAGATGCTGGGGCCATTCTTGCTAGAAAACATTTAAGTCTAAAAGACCTTAAGAAGACCTCTTCATAGTACGGGGAAAGAAGACACATGTGCAAACATTACAGCTCTGAAAGCCTATGGGGCTATTCCATGGTGTCCTATAGGGTCACAATGAGTTCATACAGCAACAACAATGGGGGTTTTTTGGTTCTTAATCTCAAAGAAAGGTGCCTCAGTGATGTAAGTGGCTAGCCACTGACCAAAAGATTGGCAATTCAGTTCTGTAGGAAAAAACCTATGGGTAATCTCTTCTAAAGTTTACAGTCTAAAAAAATTCTAGAGGCCATTCTATTCTCTCACATGGGGTCACTATGAGTCATAACTGACTCAAAAGCACAAAAATAGCAATATCTCAAAGAGGCTAAACAGCCAGTAAATGGCAGGCTGCAGTTAGAATATATCTCTATAGTCTAAATAACTAGAAACGTTCTCTAACCTTTCTAAAACAAATTTGGTCTTCAATTTATTAATAACGGCCATCATAATGAACACTTCCAATATATATACTGCAATTTGGTAGGACTGATAACTTTAGGTTATAATTTCAAAGCTTCTACAGTCTTCTTCATCTTTGCTTCTAAACAAATGTGATTGTCATAGCTCAAAATATCAGCTGTAAGAAAGGTTTGGTCTTTTAAAGGAAGCTCTTACAAAGTTCCAAAATGAGTGTTACATAGGTAAGAAAACATAAGCAAGTAATGGAATAATCATCAGGAATTAAAGATCTGTATTACAAACAGCTGAGCCAACAGGAGGCTTCTTTCCGCCCCCCACCTTGTATACTGAGGGCCCTGGAGACTGTTTCTGACTCCTGGATAAAACATAGGAAGAAATCTCTTTAAAATACAACACACAAATCTCTAAAAATGAAAAGAAGTAGGTCCAAGGAAAAACGCTTGTTGTGGGGACAGCCATTTTGAGAAAGCAAGCACTGAAATTCTGCCCTCCACAACTGATAAATGGACAAAGTAAAGGAAGGCATCTTTGCAAAGAGTGAAATATTTCACCCACTGAATTCTGCTAGTTTTATTATACTAACAAAAGAGTTCATCTTCCTACTTGGAGCTCACCAAACACTTCAGAGAGACTGGAGCCAACACTGCCATCATTTTTGGACAATACTATTTGGGAGGCAGTATTGCGCAGACTGTAGTCTTCAATATGAATTAAAGCTCAAAATCAAGAAGACAAAGATTCTCACCACTGGGCCAATTGGCAGTATCATGATGGATAGAGACAAGATTGGGTTGTTAACAACTACAGCTTGCTTGGCTCCACAATCAACACTCTTGGCACTCACAGTCAGGAAATCAAAAGAAGAATTACACTGGAAAAAATGTGCATCAGGGATCTCTCAGAGTACTGAGAAGTAACAACGCCAGTCTAGAGACTGAGGTGCACCTAATCCAGCCCATGGTTTTTGCAGTTACTTGCTAAGCATCAGAGAGCTGGACAATGACTAAAGATGACAGAAGAATCGATACTTTTGAATTGTGGTCCTGGAGAAGAGCCTTAGACATACCACAGACCACCAAGAAACCAAACAGGTTTGTCTTGGAGAGGATGGAACCAAGTGTCCCCTTGGAGACTAGGATTGTGAAGCTCCATCTTACATACTTTGGGGCACACACATGGTCTAGAGGGTCAGACCCATGTCCCTGAGGACATCAAGTTTAGAAGGATGGAGGGATGGCACAAGCAAGGAAGACCCTAGGTGGGACAGACTGATACATTACTGGCAATGGGGGTTGATGTGTTAGAATCGGTGAGACTGGCTCAGGACAGGACAGGGTTCAGAGCTATTGTACACAGGGTCACTATGGGTCAAAGGCGACTTGATGGCACATAACAACATTATACAGACAATCCATGCCAACAACTTTCTTGCATCAATATCCTAATCTTTCATCCAACCAAAGCTAAATACACAACTTAATAAAACCAATATATAAATGGAAAGATACAAAATAAAAATATAAATCTGATCCTAAAGGAAACAATATTCAAATTGCCTCCTGGAGTCAGAGCCAACTCACAGTTGAGCCTCCAGAGGGTTTTCAGAGGTTGTAAATTGCACAAAGGAAGATCTCCCATGGAGAAGCTGATGGATTTGAACTGGTGCCTACCTTTGGATTGGCAGCACAGCTACTAACCTACTAGGCTACCAGAGCTCACTAGTAATGAATTATAAAAATAAAGCAGTGCAACAATGAATGACTGGAAACCTAAATCTCTGTAAACTTTCATTAAAATTAATTTTTTAAAAAAGAACTTAAAAAAAAAGGGACAAAGAAATTTAAATATGGCATCTATTAAAAAGTCTCATAGAAAGAAAATGGACCAAAAAAAAAGGAACATCAAATTAAAAGAGACAGAATATGATAGTTGAATAACTATAGTTTTAACTATAACTTAAAATTCATATTTAAAAATTTACCAAGAAAAAAACCCAAAGAAATAAAAATATGAAGTCTGAGATAAAAGATCAGTCTTTAGAGCGAAAAGCACTATGACACACACACAGAGTCGTTTTAATGGAGAAAAAAGATATTCGGTAGAGATCAAAAATAAAAAGGATGCACCTTACTACCTAGATAGATGTAGAAAAAGAACTCAGCAAAATCTAACAGTTTCTCATTAGAAAGGTATTCTAAAAACTTAAAGAGAAGGGAATGTTCCATCCTGTTAAAGGTGTGTTTGAAAAACGCACAGCTAACATTTACTTTACTGGTAGACGGGAAGCATTCAGGAACAAGGTAGACTGTTCACTCTATTCAACAGTTTACCAGAGGATCAAGCCAATACAATAAGGCAAAGACATAAAATGCATCCGACTAGGAAGAATAAACCTTCCCATACAAAACTTTTTATTCACACACACACACACACACACACACACACACACTTTAAAAGCAAAGAAATAAATTCAGCAAAGTTATAAAATATAACATGACTAAACAAAACTGTATTTATGGCATTTAAAAATAAAAAATAAAGGGCAACTTCGTAAGCAAAATGCGTCTCTAAACTCTATGAACTTTGAGAAACAAGGATAGCTATAGAAAAGCTTCTGGTCTTTTGCTCATAGGGTCCTTATGAGTCATGTTCAACTCGACAGCAATCAACAACAGGAATAGTTTTCAAAAAACATACAAGACTTATGCACTGAAAACTACAATTATTGAAACACTTTAAAGACGACCTAAATAGCTCAGTTTTACAGACTGGAATATTTAAACACCATTATGATGCTAAAGGTAAATTTTACAGAAGACTAGATGCTAATAGAGGTTAGGTGGGATAATGTTAATTTGCCTAGGATCCAACTTTTTAGAAAACACCTCTTAAACTAATGTAAGCAACTAATGGAATAATCATCAGGCTTTATAGATCTATACTGCAAACAGCTGAACCAAGAGG